AATATATAAGTTATATATAAATGAATGCACAAGATGAAGAAGTTCTAAGAGACCATTGCTTGATTGTAATCAAATACTGAAAAGTAATTTCATAGGTAAATACAAAACAGGTAAATGCTGAACTGGCTTTGAGGATCAGATAATATACAGATCTTCTGTTTTTCAGGTAATATTCTTTAATCAATTGGCTTAATCTATTGGATAAATACATACGTAGCTTTTCATTCTTACTATAAATTTCTCAGAATGTTCCCAGCCAAAGGAAAGACAAGAATTTTATCATTCTGTGCTGTGTTATGTAACGCATACAGATGCTTGAACTTCCTTTGAGAAGGACTACTTCTTCTAGTAGGCTTCCTCCTAGAATAACAATAAGTAATATAAATACTAATACTTCAGGTGCAAAATGGTTTTCCAACACAGGGGAAGTACTGGCTTCACTTCTTCTAGTCGCTGCTCTAAGTATCAATATCATTCTACCCAACAAGAAAAATCTGCTGCTCATTGATGCCAGATGCATTGATTTCTATATTTGGGATTAATGGTGCAATGAATGTTACAATAATATTTGAATTTTCTGGAAGTATCATGTCTGCACAGTGCACGATAGGTATGTCAACCACAACTCCTATCACTGGCATCCACTAGAATTTCTATATACAGCTCCTGTCATTTCTTTCAGATGTTTCTCGTCTCTATTCACTTGCATAAAACTGAATAGCTCTCTGATGTTTTGGAACAATTACAGGGAGTAAGAACCTGTAAATTCAAACATGTGGGATGACTTCCTTTAAGTGACATCTTGCAATGTGATGTTGTCTATCTCATTTCTTTTACAGTATTCTATGAAACTGCATTTTGGTAACTTTTTCTAGTTTTTATATAGTCAGTAATCATTCTTGTGGTGGAAGACTCATAAAACTCAAACATGTATTTTGTCAGTGTCAGAATCATGGTCAGAATCATTATTAGCTAACTTCTAGCAAAGTTAGCAGCCAAAACAGGATAGTTCAGTATACAGTGAGCTGGGTTTTGAATTCCGCCCATCTGTGATAATCATCATGAGGTTTCATCTGTTAACTGAAGGAAAATGGGTAAAGATAATAATCTGATGTATAGTGTTTTAAGTCATTCACAACTCCAAAAGGGTAACTTCTATCTTGCTCTTCTACTTGCAGTTTATCACAATGTAGTGCAGATAGCAGTATTTGCAGTTGCCAGAAACTTTCGTATGTTTTTGCCAATACTTAGGCGATAATGTGCAGTTGCTTTGGAAAAAAACCATGGGATTGAGCCATAACAAGTGCAATTGAATTAATTAAATACTGGTTTCACCAAAAGAAACCATTAAATATTTAAGGGGAGAATGTCTTTTGTTATTCTTTTTAATTAAATATTAAAATGGCTTTGGTTTTAGAGACAAAACTAATGAAAATGTGAATTTTCTACTTCTATTTCTAGCTCCCCTCCACTTACTGAAAAAGAAGTTGAGGTAAGTATGTTCTCAAACTCATTACTTTAGACATATGCTTCAATTTTAAGTGGTTACGGTAAGTCTAAGGGTGGTTATTAGAACCAGGTAATGGGATATTTTTTTTTTCCGAAAAATATTTATCAGAAAAAAAACATATTGAGCTCAAACTAACAATTTTATGAAATACAGACAATTGTCCCAGGCAATATAAACTGTAAAAAGACTTAGAGTAGGAATAAGCAAGACTTGTTTGTGCGTTATTCATAATAAAATACACATTCATTTTGGAACTTACTGTAATATACTTAAAGTAGTAAAAAAATTGAGATTAAATGAGACTAGAAAATAGATTAGCTAAATTGCATTTTTGTATTGGCCAATAGGAACTTTGGGGCAGTTTTTGATGATATCTTGCAGTTAGTTTACGTAATTTCAATTTTTCAGTTCAAGACAATAATTTTTTTGCAGGTTGCTCTTTAGCTTGCTGGCTTTGTTTCTTCTTTTTTTTTTTTTTTTTTTTGACATACCAGTCAAGAAGATGATCTTTATTTACATATCTCCATTCTAATGGAACTGTTGGTGCCTTCTGCTTTGCAAAGTATTAATCCTAAGACATAATGTATCTGGTAAAGAAAGAAACAATCTTTAAAAGCAGGGTGCAAGAGAATAAAACTGTTAGCACTTAATCTTTTGCTGGCTTCAGTGGTAGGTGTTTATCCCTTAGGTAAAACAATGCTAATGGTGAGCTCATCCCTGGACTTCCTGTGCACAGACTATCTGTTTAAAAACCTTGGGGACCCTTGGAGGAAGTCCAGCTAGAAAACAGATCCATTGTGATTCTGATACTTCTGGTAGGCTACTTCCTTCATTGTGTCTCTGCTCTACTGATCTCCCAGAAAAAACATTCAGGAAAAGAGGCAGCAACACATGTATTCATATTTTAGAGGAAGTAAACAGTAAAGAGAAGTGGTTTTTTAAACAATCTAATTTAAAAAATATTTTCAGTTTTCTGTTTCAATACTTATTTAAGCATCAAAGTTTGTTAAACACATACCTTGTTCATAAGTTGTTATTGGAAGTTACATTACTGTGACACTTATTTAAAAATGGCTTTTTTTAATCCAAACAGAATGTATTCGTACAACTTTCCTTGGCCTTTAGAAATGATAGTTATACTTTGGAATCTAGAATTAACCAAGCAGAGAGAGAAAGAAATCTTACTGAAGAGAATGCTGAGAAAGAACTGGAAAACTTTAAAGCAGCCATTACGGTAAGAAAACAACAATAATTCTTTTTCTGAATAGTGTACATGAAAGTGCCCACGCATTTGAATATATGTGTGGCTATGCTTGTTTCTACCTATTGTAAATTCAGCCCCAAAACTTCATTTTCTGCTGCTTGAGCTTCTTACCAAAAGCTGGCTACCACTCTACAGTAGAGACAGCATTTTCTGCTAGAGTGGGCCACCATTGCTGGAAATGCATAGAGGATGTTGCCCTATGCCTAGCAGATTTCAGGCATAAATACTATGAATTTGTTGTTCAATTTTTGGGATAGGCCTGTGACAAAGCTAAGAGCATTCAGAACTGCAATTTGACGCATGCTCTCCCGAGCGAGGCCGCCTTTAGCAGTAAATTTGAGGTGTCCAGTTAGGCAAGATACTGAAATGATCTGAAGCCTGAGTCCTGAGATTTGTGACTTGAAAGACCTCTTAACTGCAGATAATAGAAGGCGGTACAGGAAAGGAAACAGCGAGGATTGTTTAAGGAAGACTTGCAATCTCAGGACCAGGTTATGGGCTTGAATACACTTTCATTCCAGCTGTCCCTGATGTTCTTTTATCAGCAGTAGTTTTCAGTCCTTCTTGCTGGCTTTCTCTGGATTTTTTTAGCTCAAATGACCAATACATCTGTGAGATATGTCACCTTATGTGCTGTGCATGTGTGCACGTTTTTGTGCAAAAAGGAAGGGATGCTTAGATACTATGCTGTTAAATGAAATACCTGTAGATCCAATTTACATATTACAAAGAGGTGCTGCTGTACTTTTGAGAAATAGAAGAACATATGATTCTCCCATTTACTTTATCAAGAACATCATCAGGTAAGAAAGGATACAATTAAAAAAAGATTGTGATATTTACTTCTTTTCATCTGGAATTTCAAATCTGCATTTCCAGATTAATTGTTCCTGAAAAAAAAAAGTTTTCAATGTTTTGCTGCTCTTCCCTCTGTTCTCTGTTTAAAGATCAAGCAGAAAAAAAAACTATTAAATCTCAGGGGTTTATTTATTATAATGTTTTGTATGCTTACACATTTTTATAGTGTAAACTTCAAACTGAAAACAATTAGTCTGTTAGATTTGACATCTATTTCTGTTAGGAATCCCTAATTAGGTGGTGAGAACCATGTTGCCAGCGTAGGACAGATGTGATGAGCTTTTTCCTCCTTTATGCAGTTCACATGCTACTGCCTGGCTTTTACAGGCTTTTTTATGTAATTTATAACAAAGTGGAAACTGCCATTCATATGAAAGTTTTTGTTCTATACAATGGAATAAACTAACCAGCAATTAAATGAAGTGACGCTTCTGTATAATCTGTATCATATTAGACCTAGACTTGTTCCTACTTCAGTGGGAGGTTATCTTCATTTCTGTAGGACAGACACGTTATATGGGTCAATGACAGTTTTACCAGTCTTCATGATTTTTTTTTAATCAATCTTGTGATAATTGATGTTTTATTCAAAAACCCAACTTCAAGAGAAAGCTGACTTACATAAACTTCAGATTTGTTCAAGAAAATAAGCAAGTTACAGTTGCCAAGAAAAACCTGAAAATCTTAAATTCTGTGAATATTTTTCTCAAACAGATTCCCTTATGCCTTCTTGGGTCTTGCAGTCAAATTTTGGCTGCAATTTATTGTCACACTAGCTTCAGTGATAAATAAGTTTAAGAATTTTTTATTGTTGCAATTGTCATTGCACCAGATTCATCAGTCCCTTGGCTGTGTTTCTGCACCAAAGGTTTGCACTACAAATGCAATTTCTCAGATTACTCTACTCAAAAAGTTACTGCACATAACTCCTTTCTTTCGAAGGAGGGGAGGAAAAGAGGAGGAGGAGAGGTTATTCTTTTTACACATCATTTCAATACATTGACTGACTCTTGCAGTAATATAAGTGAGGGGTTGCAGAGAACAAGGGCACAATGCAGCTGGTCAGAGGGAGAATTGTGTGAACAGCAACACAGTGATTAATTACTTAAGACAACCTCAAAGCCAAAACTGGTGCATCCTGAAAATACACTTTAAGAATATAGGAATCATCCAGCATCACAAAGTCTGCCTGGAAGTCTGAACTAAATTGTATTGGGTTTTCTCAAATCAAACTTTTCTGAAAACAGAAAACTCATTCAGTGAAGAGGTTTTGGCTTTGGCTAATATAACATCACTAAGGCTTTGGCTAATATAACATCTAAATTCACTCTTGCTTTTGGTAACTAATCCCAAGGAAGTTATATGCTTTGATGTTTTTCAGTATTAATCTGAACTATCAAAGTGATTATATTAATCCAGTGCATAAATGTGTGTATTGATTGACAAAAAATGGTTTAAAAAATTGCAATTGCCATTTTATTTACAGGCCATATTATTTTTTATTACTCTCTTGCGTTTCTAATCCTTGAGACTATAATGTCTTATTTTCCAAATAAGTGAAGTATCATGGAACTGAAAGAACATAAATGGCCTTTTTAACAGCTTGTGCCCAGCGAATTAAAATGTCCTTTGTGTTTCAGCAATCATTTGTAATCACTAGTTCAAATAAACTTGGCATTTGTAAACTTCACACATAGCGAGGCAAGTTTCATCATTAATTTCAAAATGAAAAGTATTGCAAATGTGTTTAGCCCTCTTTAATTCCTTGAAAGGTGTGCCTGCAGTATGCAGTGAAGCACCATTCTGAAACAGAGCAGCAGCACTCTCTAGGTTATGGATGGCAGTAGTGATGGCACTCCTCTGGGGCTAATTTGTCCATGAGCAGTTCTGCCTAGACATCTCTTCCCCACTTCTGTGGCTCAGGCTACTTCATCTGAACTAAAAGTGGCAAGACATGATGATAAAGCTAGTGTATTTTCACTTCAGTCTTCAGCTCACTTATGGCATCACTATGAACACAGAGAAGCTTATCAGAAGCTATTGGAGGATATTGCTGTTCTGCGGCGTTTAGCTGCTAGACTGTCTAGTCGTGCTGAGATGGTTGGAGCCGTTCGCCAGGTAAGAACATCCTGGTGTCTAATACGTATCCTGGCTGTGCATGTTCACTCTTTCTCTCTTTCAGCCATAGCTGGAGGTTATATTAGCCCTTTGAATTCTATTTGCCATTTTGACAGATTAAAGATGTTTATTGTAGTGTCAGATAAGACACCATTTCAGTCTGGAAATAGAATTTGAACAGAAGGTTACCCATGAAGCTATTCAACAGCCGTACAATAGGAGCATATATATTATTCAGAACTATAGCTGCATCACAAGAAACTTACTTAAAATCACTGCAGCATGAATAAGAAAACTTTTCTGGGTCAAAAAGCTCATCTAGTTCAGTCACCTATAGCTTAGTCAGACAGCTATAAAGAACAGTATAAGAACAGAGCAAGTATAAATGAGAACACAGCAATACTCTCCCAGATTCAAGACTGTTGCCTTTGCCCACTAAAGTAACTAGACTGATGCCAATGACTAAGACCTTTGAGGGTTTGAAAACAAACGTACGTATACCACATAACTAATAAGATAGGCACACAGGGAGACTGTATAAATATATGACAAAATAAATTATGGTATTCTGTGGATATTTATGAATGCATTAGCTTAGGAATTTTCAGTCATGAAGGTACCTATATTTCTTTAAGAACAACTATTCCAGATTTAGCCCTGACAGGGAGCATACACACAGAAGCAAATGATTTGTTTAAGAAGTGTAGAGGTTATTTGAGTATTCGCCTCTTTTCTTCCTTAGGAGAAGCGTATGTCAAAGGCAACAGAAGTAATGATGCAGTATGTGGAAAATCTGAAAAGAACGTATGAAAAGGATCATGCTGAACTAATGGAGTTCAAGAAACTTGCCAATCAGAATTCCAGCAGAAGCTATGGTGCATCTGGTAAAAAATCAATCAAACAAACAAAAATTTAAGGGCTTGTCTTGCCTCTGTACAGAGAGATATTGGTGCTATTAATCATAAAAAGTGAAGTATCATGAAACCTGTTCATGAAGTTCTGATCTACAGGAGTAGATTTCAAAAAGATATAGATATAACAGTTAACTTATTTCTTATAAGCCATACTTTGTGCTATAATACAGTAATTTAAAATCACTATCACCTACCAAATTCTGATGAGATCTGATGACATTTTCGTTGGCCTCTTGCACATATGCGTAGCTTGCACAGTTTTAACGCAACTACCTCTTAGATGATAGATGATGGCAAAATTTCATTATTAAAAAGTGTTTTTTTTTTTCTTTTTGCAACCTTATCTTTCCTAGTTTGTTGGAAACTGAAATATGAGTATTTTCTTTTGCAAAAACTTGTATATGGAGGCAAATAGTGGGCTTTTGCCTGATCTCAGTAAAAACAGTAATGGTTCAATTTTTTGCAATTATTTCAAATTTCTTCTGCAGGTGTAATTGAGACCAGAACTGTATGACAGATAAATATGCAGTCACTACAGACCTTGTATAAATATACTATATCTGAGTTTGTAATACAAGCAAGGGCTCTATTTAATATTATTTACAGATATTCATATAGTCTAAGACTGTTCTTTATCTACTGTTTTTATGCAGAAGATGGAGTACCTCGTTCATCTAGATCCATGTCTCTCACTGTTGGAAAGGTATTTCTACAATATAAAGAAAATTAAGTGAACATTTTATGTAGTGAAATTTCTGTCTACATACACTGTGTTTTAGAGGCTGTATTCAAAACATAGTGCTGATAAATTCTCAGTATTGTTCATGTAATTTAGTGCAAGTATTTTGTAATTTTGGATACATGATTAAGTATGACTTTGTGCAATAATGATAATGCTTGCTGTGAAGCTATAAATAATAAAGGGACCTATTTGTTTAAGAGTAATTGTATTCCATGACACATACCTGTGCTCCAGAGAATAACTTAGGTCCTTAGGTGCTTTATTCTATTTCCTCAGTGAGGAAGCTGAACATTGGATCAAAACTTACTATATGATTTGGGATTCCATGATCATACTGTTTTTATTATCTTAAGAATTATATCATGTTCAGAGTACATTAGATGTAAGCAGTTATTTTTAAGTGGGTCTCCTTTTTCAGTTAGCATCAAAGTATCTTGTTTGGTTTGACAAAGCATGCAGAGTGAGGGATTATCTCAGATTGTTTTGGCTTGACCAATTAATAACTTTAACAAGGCCAGTGTTCCATTTCTGCAAAACTTCTAAGTATTGGAGATCAAGTTTATTACAAAAATTCCTATAACAACCAGTGATTTGGGAGAGCCAGGACCCAATGTGACCATTATGAAATCTGGTGGTAAGAGGCATTATATTCAGTCTGCTATTTCTTTTCCTACTTTTATTTGCTTGGATTGTAGTTATTTAGGATTAGTTTATTCCTGCAATCTCTGAGTGCTGGATAGAAAGAATTGCTGAGGTCAAGTCTGGATTTCAGAATGAGAACCAAATAAGTTGAAACAGAGGTCCTAATAAAAGATGAAGTTTAACAAGGACAAGTACAATTCCAAATAACAAAGTGTGTGTGGGGGGGGAAAGCCCAAAACCCTAGAATGAACTGCCTAACATGGGTGCAGACTCCCCAGTATAGTTTTTCAGGAGCACATTAGATAAACCTTTGTCGTTAATGAATAGGTATAGTTGGTTTTGTCTAGAATCAGGATCATGGAGTAGGTCACTCCTATATATTTTCTAAATCTGTGTTTAATTCCTTTCCTGTAAAGTTATCTAGAGCAGAATCTTAGAAGTGTTTGGATATGCACTAAGATGAAGCTGTTAGATGCTGTAAGTGCTTTGATCTTTTACTCAGTTGGAAGTGTAGATTTTACTGGGTGTATATCATAGGATGAAGCATTTGGCTACTTACCTAATGACAGCAAAAACTTACATGTTCTGTAGTTGAACTAGAATATACTGTGTACAGCTAGCATGTGTTTATCATATCAAGAATTTCCATGGTCTTTGGGAAATATAAGCAATGTCATATGATGCTAGATAGATATCTAACGATATCTAACAACTCAAGGGTGGAGGAGAAGGCTCTGTTCTTTTGCAGAGGGAACAGATGTTATTGTTTCTGTAAGTTATACTTAGGTTTAAAAATAATTAATATATCATAGTAGACACAGTATATCATAATGGGTACATAGCAAGAGAAGAGTTTCATGTGTAACTTCATTATTTTCCAGTCATTGTGTCACTGGCACTTTTCCCAGTGTTGTTATACCTCTTGTTTAACCGAAGATGATAGCCTCTAATAAGAACTGACAATATCAACTCAGAACACACCTGTTGCGTGACTTACACTATTGGACTTTCAGTGTGGAGGGAAAAGAGTAGCATCCCTGTACAACACCTCATTTCACACTAAGCACTTGCCATACCAGACAGTACTAGAGGAAGTTTTGGGGAAAACCACAGCGCTAACAGCCATTTATCTTAATTTTGCTCCCAACTCTCCCTCAAGGGACATTAACCTACATCTTTGCCACACCTATTAACTTGTAGAATTGTTCTTCAGTCTATCTTGTTCTATGATAGGAAAAAAAATAATGTTGTTTCTCACAGAATATGCCTCGGAGGAGAGTCAGTGTTGCTGTTGTTCCTAAATTTAACTCCTTAAACATTCCTGGTCAGTCACCAACAGCTTCACCTATACCTTCAATGCCATCCCTGGTAAGTAAAATTCACATTTTAAAGATACTACTTTTTGTCTAAACCACTTTGCATAGGGTTAAGCCACAGTCACTAAAAAAATGTAAGCCTTTTCATTGGTTTAACTTGTTTTGACTCCATCCTACTGAAGGGAATGGACAAAGGTAATTCCTGTTGTGTAAGGACGTATGCCTTAAGAATCTGCCTCCATAAATGATCTCTTTGGACACAGAGCTGAATAAGGCTAGCTGTTGATTCAGAGGCATTAGACATTAGTTGAGGCAATTTGCCTTTTAATCTGTAGTAACATACTGGAAAGAAGTAGTAAAAATAGTTGTCCGCTGTAGGAGAGAAATTTTAACTAGAAACTGTAGAAGTTGATGGGACTGCTTCTCTTCATTGCCAAAAAGTCCACTAAACAGAAAAACATGTAATTAATATACAGAAATGTATGTGGTAGAAATTTAGATGTTCTCTGATGATCTGGGATTAGAGGGGCTATCAGTCTCTACCTTGACTTTTTGTTCATAAAATTTTAATAAATTAAATGAGAATCTAATCTGAACCTAGTAAACCTATATAAATGCTTTGGAGGAAAACTGCAAGGCATACCAAGTGTTCAGAGATGAGCTATGATGGCATATAACCTGAAAATTATGCAGGTTTCTGTTAAAAATGTAGGGCTATTTAAATGAGGGGTTTTGCTGAGAAGCTAAATCCATTTTAGTTTTAAGAAAACAGTGTTTGTGCAATTTAGTTATTATGTAGAGTCAATTGCTCAAAGCCCCATCCAACCTGGTCTTGAACACTTCCAGGGATGAGGCATCCACAGCTTTTCTGGGCAACCTGTTCCAGTGCCTCACTACCCTCACGGTGAAAAATTTCTTCCTAATATCTAATCTAAATCTTCCCTCTTCCAGTTTAAAGCCATGGCCCCTTGTCCTATCCCTACCTGCCTTTGTAAAGAGTCCCTCCCCAGCTTTGTTGTAGGCTCCTTTAGGTACTGGAAGGCTGCTCTAAGGTCTCCCTGGAGCCTTCTCTTTTCATTTGAAATTAATTCATGGATGTAACATTTATTGCTGTTTTTCACTTACAGTCTGAATCACCTAGTAATGGAAGGAGCAATCTAACGTCTACTCCTGTTCTGCCAGCACTTTTAGAAAAGTGAGTTTTTTTTCTAGGTCATCTCATTACTTATTAAATCCTAGAATGAAATGAAAATTATATGATTACTATCTTTCCTAATGGAAGTTATACCAAGGCATAAGGTATTGAAATCAGTGACACAATATTGGCTTAGGTTGATTCATGATCTGGTAACTGTATTTTACTCTGTCACCATCATATTGTTCATGTTCGAAGCGTTTACAAGCAGTATCTCAGAACTGAATCGAACCTGCTATGATCATTAGAACTCATAAAGTAAAAAATGCAGCAGAGGATTAAACATTTACACATTTGAGTAGGCCTGCCTTCAGAACTTGACAAAACTAAGAGTATTACATAAAATGCATGTGGCTTTTTTTTTTTTTTTAAATATATTTCCTGGGACAAATTCATGCTGTATCTAAAGTTGACCATGTTCAACCCTGGGTATGAATAGTCCTTGACTATCCAAGTAATAGAAGTTTGTGTTCTGCCTTTGCCTTTTCAACATGTGGCTAGCTGGTAAGAATCATATTTTGAAATACTATGATATCCAGTGGCATGTAGGTTTTTTAATTTATATGAATCAACATAAGTATATGAAATTCAAGAGTATAACTTACCATAATATTACATCATTGAAATTTTGCAGAAGTCCAAACAATTATTAAATTGAGTAGTAATTCTTTTTTTAGTGTAAAATTAGTTGAACATTCAGCTGAATTAAAGCATTAGGTTTGAGATTTTAGTTTTAACAACCTGAGATTTTATTTATAACAGCTAGAGAAGTGTGCATTTTAAAATAAAAAAAATAGAGACAGGATAGAGCTTTTTTTTATTAGCTTGGTAACAAGCAAATACCTCAATATCTCTATTTTTCTAGTACCTATAAATTGCAAGAATATTTTTCATTAAAGCATTTGCCTTTTTGGCTCTATATTAATTACCATTAGTGTAAATGTCATGGCTGGATTAAGGTATGCTGTTGTTATCCATTTTCATAGAATCATAGGATGGTTTGGTTGGAAAGGACCTTAAACATCATCTCGTTCCAACCCCCCTGCCATGGACAGGGACACCTTCCACCAGACCAGGTTGCTCAAAGCCCCATCCAACCTGGCCTTGAACACTTCCAGGGATCGGGCAGCCACAGCTTCTCTGGGCAACATGCTCCAGTGCCTCACCACCCTCACAGTGAAGAATTTCTTCCTAATATCTCATCTAAATCTTCCCTCTTCCAGTTGAAAGCCATGGCCCCTTGTCCTATCCCTACATGCCCTTGTAAAAAGTCCCTCCCCAGCTTTGTTGTAGGCCCCTTTAGGTATTGGAAGGCTGCTCTAAGGTCTCCCCAGAGCCTTCTCTTCTCCAGGCTGAACAACCCCAACTCTCTCCGCCTGTCCTCACAGGAGAGGTGCTCCAGCCCTCAGATCATCTTCGTGCCCCTCCTCTGGACTCGCTCCAACTGGTCCATGTCCTTTTTGTGTTGGAGGCCCCAAAGCTGAAGGCAGTACTCCAGGCAGGGCCTCATGAGAGCAGAGTAGAGGGGGAGAATCACCTCCCTGGACCTGCTGGTCACACTGCTTTTGATGTAGCCCAGGATTGGGTTGGGTTTCTGGGCTGCCAGCGCACATTGCTGGGTCATGTTGAGCTTCTCATCAACCAGCACCCCCAAGTCCTTCTCTTCATGGCTGGTCTCAATCTATTCTCCTCTCAGCCTGTGTTTGTGCTTGGGACTGCCCCGACCCATGTACAGGACCCTACGTTTGGCCTTGTTGAACTTCATGGGGTTCACATGGGCCCACCTCTCAAGCTTGTCAAGGATCCTGTGGATGGCATCCCTTCTCTCCAGCATGTCAACTGCACTACACAGCTTGGTGTCGTCAGCAAACTTGCTGAGGGTGCACTCAATCCCATTGACCATGTCGCCGACAGAGATGTTAAACAGCACAGGTCCCAGTCATGACCCCTGAGGAATGCCATTCATCATCGGTCTCCACTTGGACATTGAGCCATTGACCGCAACTATCTGAATGCAACCATCCAGCCAATTCCTTATCCACCGAGTGGTCCATCTGTCAAATCCATGTTTGATGTTTGTGGGACAGCGTCAAATGCTTTGCACAAGTCCAGGGAGATGATGTCAGTTGCTCTTCCCCTATCTGCCAATGCTGTAACCTCATCATAGAAGGCCACCAAATTTGTCAGGCACAATTTGCCCCTAGTGAAGCCGTGTTGGCTGTCACCAATCACCTCCTTATCTTCCATGTGCCTTAGCAGGAGGATCTGCTCCATGATCTTGCCAGGCATAGAGGTGAGACTGACTGGCCTATAGTTCCCTGGGTCTTCCTTTTTTCCCTTTTTAAAAATGGGAGTTATGTTTCCCCTTTTCCAATCAGCGGGAACTTCACCAGACTGCCACAACTTCTCAAAATTTTCCATAATAGTTCCATTAGTCATTCTATGGGTTTAAATAGTACTACTTTTGGAGCAAAATAATAGTTATATGAACAAGGAAAGCAAAGAATTGCTCTGCAGGAAAGCATGTGCATCTACACATTTATGGAATGAACTTTTAAGTAAAATTCATGTAGACAACTGATTTAATTTTATACAAGTTATTGAAATGTAAAGCACCTGCAGTAACAGAATACAAAGGTGGGCAATATGAAAACATGTGAGACTGGAATGAGAATAGAAGGCATACTCAAGCTGTTCTACAAGGTCTTTGTAAACAGTTGGCATTATGGATACAGGTACTCTTGCATTTGCAAACCCAAATGTGTATATACCTTATTCATATATATAATCAGCCTAGAAAGCAAAAAAAAAAAAAATTGTCAAACACTTTTCCACATACTTATCTCTTTCAGGAAATGTTGCACATTCTAAGGAAGTTGCTTGCTTATGTTTCAGAAGTAAAACTTACTAAAACATCACATTGATTTTTGTTGTTGTTGCTACTATTACTACCTCTTTCGTCGTTTAGACTGTTTACAATATCACGATAAAATATCTGCAATACTAATTTAACTTAAGTTTTTTAGGATGCTTTAAACATGCAAATTTAAAGTCTTAAAATATGTAAATCTCACATCAGTACAGACGGTTGAATTTCATGTATTTTAGATTAGTGCTGAGGCAGGACAAAATTTATCTTATGTCTTTGTTTTGTCTCTGTGCTGAAAATATGCAACGATTGGGAAAACAAAAACAGTGAACTATGGTGCTAGTTGTTACAATTCAACAGAACTCTGCAATATTTAGACCATCTTTTGAAACTGTACAGAAATTCTGAAAACAACAACAACAAAAACCTTATCTGTATTTCTTACTGGATCTTAAGAAAACAAACCATGTTATCAAGTAACATAAGTAGAACTTGAAATTCAAGTTTGACCATAAGTATGTATGCATGGGCTAACTGCTATAGTAGTGTAAAATTACATAGTTCAGCAGAGTTATGTATATTTAAGCACTTCAAGCTTATGCTCATGGTTTGTTTAAAGTCCAAGAGAAAATAATGTCTAGTGTTAATATAACTTCTTGAGAGAAAATCCATTGCCCACAGATGATGTCAATAAGAATAAATTATTCTGGTATTGATTTTAGTGCCAGAAAAATAAGGCCTACAGCAAGAGTTAGATTCTAGAAGTTAAAATGAATTACCCTGTTGAGCTTATTAAACCTTGACTTTGATAGATTTGCTAAGTGATGTCTGAATCACTTAAACTCTTTATCCCAGACTTAAATAAATAAGGACAGGTAAGCACTGCAGAAAGAGAGCAATATACAATGGCTTATCTTTAGGCAAAATGCTCAAAGCTTTTACTTAAGAAAAATTTTAGTGACAAAAACTATGTATGTGTTTGTATTTTTTTTAATATGTGCATCAGTTCAGCTTATAAAATCAGCAGAGGGGAGTACTTAAAAGGCAAGAAAAATGTTTTGTTAAATTAGTACTTGGTGTTCTTACTATTATTTTCCTGTGGCATAGCAGGCTACAATTTCTAAGGTGATTTTTAGAAAGTTGAGGGAAATGTTTTCAAGAATAGCAAATAAATTCTGTGGATAAGCCAGGAAACAAATGCTTCTTTCTTTTCTTTTTTGAAGAAGAAACAAAATGCAAGTTTTAATACCTTAGAAACATATTAATTACTATTCTTAAATTATAACATTTTGAAACTAAAATATTGCTTAGTGTTTCATTTCTTTCTTTTGAAAGGCATTTCTCTGATGTACATTAAGGAAGAAAAATTAGGAGTCACAAAATTGCATATGATTGTTCTTGTTCACTAGTATACTGCAAATACAATACATTTCAGTGGTGGTATTTTCTATTTGTCTATTTCTTTTGTCTTGGCAGTGGAAAGACTAATGGAGAACCCGACTGTGAAACTTCTACTTCTGTGCTGACACAGAGTGGTTTGGAAGAGATCAATCCTGAAACTAAAGCCAAGATAGAAGAGGAAGCATATAACAAAGGGTGGGAATATTTTATGTAAACTAGATCTGTAAATATGTGCTATCAGATGAGGACATGTTTTTATAATGTAATTTTAAATGCAAAATGAGTGACATAATTGATATGAGCTCCTAGAAGATGGTCATAATTGAAGCAATGTGGGAAACAATGCGAGTGAGCTTCACTCATTGTTTGCATTGTAGCTGTTCACTTTTATCCTTTATTAATGTTAGCCAAACTGTGGGAGAGCAGTTATATCAGACATTCTGAGTTGGGTGGGTGTTCTTATGTCAGTAGTGTTCAGCTTCATGATAAGATAATCCAAAACAACTTTCTAAAATGTTTATTATGAAAAGTGTACATGGAAATAAGTAAAGAGTAAGTATCAGCTCTTGCAGTAAACTTGTGTTGTTTGCGTCACACAGTGTGTTTTGGGGTGATTAACAGCTTTGGGATTGGTTTCTGAATGTCAAGTGAAAAACTTCATACTATGTGAAGAGTGAGACAAAAGTTTTGATCCTCTCCTGCAGAATCCAACAAGCCATTTATATTTAGCATTGATGTGCATTTATTCTCCAGGAAAAACAAATATCTAGAGGGTGTTCAAAATGATTGAAAAACAATAGAGAAATGCTTACCAACTCCTTTACAGTAGACAAAAGTTGTGAACTTACAAAACTGAGGACTATAACCTCTTTTTCAAGATGGTAAGTTTGGTAACAGAGCTAATATAATCTGTTCAGAAAGGATGGCTGTGATTGTGCCATAGTCGTGGTCTTTAGCTAATTTTTACTCTTGACCAAGTGCTGCAGCAGTGCTATTTGTGTTTTAGTGCATGTAGTAAAACACAAAGCTAATTTTTCATTACATGAGAATAGGCTTATACAGTGTACTATACTAAGAAAAATGTTTTGTGTCTTAAAGGTATCAGGAAGGCTTGAAGAAAACCAAAGAACTTCAGGAACTGAAGGAAGAAGATGAAGAGACACCAAAAGAAAGTCATGATGAACATGAAGAAAGTGAAAATGAAGATGAGATAAAAAACCTGAAAAGCAGGTGAGACACTGGTGTAATATGTCCATGCAAGAGGAGCCACTTTTTTCTATTTGTGGTACTCAACCAAATGTGTTACACTATTATCTTGACATGTTTTCTTCTGATCTAGGAAATCATATTTGACATAACAATATTTTCTCAGAAAGGCAAATTCTGAGATAACATAGTTGCAAAATGCAAAAATTTTTATTTTTAACTGAAATTGTATGTTGACCTCAAGATGCTTCATCTTGAGGGGATTTGGTTTTCATTTGAGGTAAAAAATATTCCACAAAAGTTCTTTAGATGCCAGAATATATGTCTCAGTAAGCATGCATTGTCTCATGAAAGTTGTACTTCAGGAATCTGATGCCCATGTTTGTGCCATATGTCATTCCCAGAGAGTCTTCACAGGTGAGTCTTTCAGTACATCTACAAGGTGAATGCAGATTAAGACAAGCTCCTCAGCTATGTTGGACTTGCTCTGACTTGGACAGGCAGGTGCTTGCTCCCTCTGGAAGCTGTGTAGATGCAGCTGAACAGCACTATGCTGGAGTTCCTCCCTTTCAGCAGTGACACGTTTATTGCATTCATCTGTACCCAATGTTCTTTGTCTATACTGGGGACTTTTGAATCATCTGCTTATTGTCTTATCTGAAGCATTTGATGCCTAGCTGGAAAACTTTTCTGAAATTTTCAACTTTTCTTAGAGTTAATTATTGAGTTTCCTTGGTGGTTCTACCACCTGATTCAAAGTACTTGCAATTTCCTGCATTTTAAAAGCAAAGAGGCTTTTGCATTAGAGAGGAATCGAATGCTGGACAAAGCAAGTAGTATGTCCAGTCCCAAGCTAAGGTAGGGATCCTTACCTGATCCAGAAGAATTCACTTCCATTCCATAACCATTATGGTTATAAACATCTGTTATTGAGATTTCAGCCATGTTCAGAAAGGCAGCCATCTCACTAGTCATGAAACTCTTGGGAAGAAATGTTTACAACATGTGGCATATTGATGCATGGACTCCGAATGCGGATCGAAGACTCTGTTACAATCAAGCAAACTTTTTATACCTCTACAGCAGGCTGATGTGTCAGCCTGTAACTGAGCTTCAGTAATTTTCCATTACAGCATTTTTTAACTATTACAGACATAGCAACTTTAGCAACTTTCTTATCTACAAGGCCAAAGACTAAACTTTTTTACAAACAGCTGCTGAAACAGACCACTGTGTTTTGCTTCACTTCTTACTCCCATGGCTTTCTGCCAACAAGCATAACTCTCTCCTTCTCCCAGGCTCGGCCTTCGCTCACTGATGCTGTTGAGCTGGCTCGAGAAATACCCGTAACAACATATTCTAATATTTAGTTTAGTTGAGCAAGCTATGAACACTGTGGAATTTTACATCATATATCAAGCTCTGAGATTTGCCAGTTGACAGGTGGGAGAAATAGAAGTCGAGTTTACAGTCATCAGCCATCTTGCAAATATCACCCATATCTGAGTGTACAGCTCTTCTTAAAAGAACTTAGTAGTCAGTCTGATTTTTCTTTGACAAGGTGTTTCTATTCAGAAGAAAGATGGTGCACCATACATCTATGAAACATCTGAAATTGAAAAGGTTAAAATAATAAATTTGCATATGATTCATATATAACAGTTTTCTTTTAATTTTACAGCAGACTTGAAGTCATCATTAATTATTTACATATACTGTACCCCAAACTGTGTAAACACTGGAATGTGGTATGGCTTGTAGTGGCTGCAATAATAATTTTTGCTGCGGTGTTGGGAATCTACCATTCATACAATTCCTGTGACGAAAAATCAGAGGGACCTGAAGGGAAGGCCAGCTGTTCTGCTGCCCATCATCACTCCTGGTGGACCTCAGGATTTCAACATGAGCAACACACTGAACAATAAAGGAACAACCATGTATTTGTGGTACCTGAGCAAGTATGCATATTAGAACACTGTTGTTAAAGATAGTTCTTAGCCATCCTCATGGCTGTTAAATGCGATCTGTTAGACAAGTGAGTTACTCCACACCATCAGGTTTGGGGATATATTGTGAACATACCTTGCCAAAATGACAATCTGATAAATAATCCTGTCTGTCCTCTTATTGTAAATGACTGATACAAATAAAGTAATACTGAATCATGATAAGGTTGTGGCAGTAATCAACAACCAGCAATACATTTAAAAGAATGATTTGCACAGGACATTGACATCTCTGCTATGATTTTGAAGAAAACCATAAAACCTGCATTTGCAGTTAGTGCTTTACGTTGCATTTCCTGAATTTATTGGTGATTGTTGAAGTACTAATGGCATTTAAGTCCTTTGGGTTTTAAGAGTCTAATTCATTTCCTTATTCATGATTATTGGGTAGAAATAGAAGCTCTTCCATGGAAGGTTAGAATTATTTTATCAGACCAAATGCCTTGCTGATAAAGTAATTTTGTAAGAGGAATTATCTGTATGATTATTTAAATGGAATACCAAGTACATGCATAAATGTGTTTTATGATATACTTAAGAATGGGTCCACAACTTTTTTTTAAATGAGATACGCACCAAAACCTAAAACAAGGTCTAGGTGGCACAGTTGATATCATCAAATAAATCTGGGAACTTCTGATATATCAAAGGGACATGCTTTGCAACTAATTTGTGTATGCCACTCAGTCAATACTGGTTACAGCAAAAATTAGTTGCTGCCTGGAAGATTAGATGTGTTGCCTGAGCCCAAAATACAGCAGTCTTGGACATGGGAAGCAATCTTCAATTCCTTCTTAAAAAAAAAAAAAAAAAGGCAAAAAAAAAAAGCTCTTCAAACCTCTGTATACAGGTGATCACAATAGGTGGACTCTGCCCTACAGCTAATACTAGAAATAAATATCCTTTGAGATCCACACTAGGAACACAGTTCTGTGTACAGCCAAAACCCTACTAGTGCCTAGATGAATCAGGACATGAAAGCAGTGAGGACTTTAAAAAGGTCACTGCATGTTTTCAGTAGTTCATTTTCAGAATCTGATGCCAAGTATGTAACTGTTCTGATACATTTTCAAAGCTAAACTATCAGGTCATGATAGATTAATCTTTTGCCCAGATTTTTCAACACTTCTGCCTAATTGGGACTTGTGAGTTCTTACACAAGAATATGAAAGCCTGAAATTTTTTAGACAAGCAATTTCAAACTGGTGAAGCCATTATTTGTAAAAAAACTACACCACCTAGGGCTGAGACCAAAATGCATACCACTTGAGGTATATCATATGTACCT